TCAAAGCCTCGCCGCACGCCACTTTTCACCCACCTGGAGGCTTCGTGCAGGTTCGCTGTGGTGAGAGCATCTTGCTGCCGGACGGCTTTCACCTCGTCTAACGGCGACACGAAGGCCGGGTCGCTGTCCCGGTCGCTGTCTTCCTCGCCGGCTGCTGGTTGGGCCGATCTGCGAGGCGGCGGGACAGGAAGCTCATCGACGGCCAACGAACTCACGCAGTCTTCATCAGAACCATCCTCTTCCTCCTGAGACAGAAACAGATGCGTCCTTGGACTTAAACGTCATCAAGCTTTAGCTTTTATGTAAAATCATCTCGACTACAGAAACAACTCAAAGCTGCTGTTGTCACAGTGAGTTTGTCCTGAAGGTGGCGCTACAGCAGGAGGACAATAAACGTTTCTGTTTTTCTCTGATGAAACTTTGTTAGTTCGCACGTATGAAAACGCTGACGTTCCTGCTAAAACACGACAGGTGTGCGTCTTACGATGGTGCTGATGGTGGGGCTGGCACACAGCAAGTGTTTGATCATCTGGTATCGGTCGTACAGCGGCTTCACCAGGTTCTTCTCCTGCTTCGTTCCCTGGGACACAACAAAGCATCAATAAGCTCCTCTCGTGGAGTTGGAGAATAAAAACATGGCGTTGGAAACGAGGGGCTCGACCCTGCTGGGTGTGTGTGGGGAGGACTCACCGGCCGGCCGTGCAGACTCTCGAAGTACAGCAGACATTTCTGCAGAGTGATTTTCTCCAGCACCATCTGAGCCTGAGTCATCTCCTGCACAGAGACACTTTATGTCTGACATCAGAAAACTGGATATCTGCTGATACGCATGTGAACCTGATATAATCAATAACAGTTTTTTCATAGTTTAAAAAACAAAACATTAAAGCTGTTCTGTTATAATTTTATAACAGAACAGCTTTAATGTTTAAGTATATCACAGTTCAGCCACACTGATGTTTGTGTTTAAACTTTAAGGACTTAAAGTAAAATTCAAGTCATTTAAATGCAATTTAATGCAGATTTCAAAAACTTTGTAATAAACTATGTTTATACTCATAAAATTTAAATTTATACTTACAGCTGAACATAAACAGACATCCAGAGTTTAAAGCCAATAAATGCAAACACACTCATGATCAGGATGATGTCAGTGTTTCCATCACGTTTAACCTGAGACTGAATTTTGTGTCATTTCTGTACAAACTAAAGACTGAAAAAGTGTTTTTCATAGTTTTTTCAACCATGAAACTGGCCGGGCGTCGTGCCGGTTTGTTTCCCCTGCGGGGGGCGCTCACGCTGTCCAAACAGGACCCCACAGTCTTAGTTCACCAACACTCCTCCAACTTTGGAGGTTTGAGCTCTTTGTACAGCAAAGTTTCAGGAGGATAAAAATCATCATCAGTCGTTTGGTAAAATAATCCCGTCACGTGAGAACAACAAATATGTAACTTCCTGTTGTAACTGAATGCTAATGTAACGACACTCACTACTTCCACGTCTAATAGAGATGTGACGTCACTCTGGGGTAAAACCGCAAAGGATTGTGGGTACGAGTGGTAAGCGGTACTAGTAATAGTACATAAGCTAGTTAATGTTAACATGTTTCTTACTAA